TGGGAAGTCTTGTCTTGTCCCTGATCTTAGAGGGAAGTTTATTAATTTTCCCCTGTTGAGAATAATGCTTGTTGTGGGTTGTGGTAGATGGCTTTGTCAGTATTGAGGAAAACTCCTTCGACTCCCATTTTGTTGAGTGTTTTTATCATGAAAGTCCTGGATATTGTCAAAAGCTTTCTCTGCATCTATTGATATGATCATATGATTTTAATCCTTTCTTTTATTGGTGGTTTTTATCCTTTCTTTTATCGATCTGGTGTATTATGTTGACTGACTCGCAAATGTTAAACTATCATGGCATGGCATCCCTGGGACGAATCCTACTTGCTCATGGTGTATGATCTTTTTCATGAGTTTATGGATTCTATTTATAAGATTTTGTTGAGAATCTTAGCACCTATCTGTGCTCATCAGGGATATATGCTATAGCCCTGTAATTCTCTCTCTCTCTCTCTCTCTCTCTCTCTCTCTCTCTCTCTCTCTCTTCTCTCTCTCTCTGTCTCTCTCTCTTTGTGGTGTCTATGTCAGCTTTGGGTATTAGGGTGATATTTGCTTCATAGAAAGTGTTTGGGGGTGTTTCTGTTTCTTCAATTTGTTGGAAAAGCTCGAAAAAGATTGGCAGTAGATCTGCTTTAAAGGTTTGAAAGAACTCATTAGTGAATCCCTCTGGATCTGGGCTTTTGCTATGTGGAAGACTTTTGATTACCATTTCAATGTCCTCAATGGTGATAGGTGTTTCAGGTATTCCAAATCTTCTTGGTTCAGCCTTGGGAAGTTATAAGAATCCAGGAATTTATCCATTTCTTCAAGGTTCTCTTGTTTTGTGATGTAAAGATTTGATTTCTTCAGTTTCTGTGTGATGTCCCCCTTTGCACTTCTGATATGGTTTATTAGGTTCCTCTCTCTCTCTGTTTCTTTGTGAACCTCAATATTGGTTTACCCATCTTGTTTATTTTCTCAAAGAACCAGGGTTTGCTTTCATTGATCTTTAGAACTTTTTTTTAAATTCCAGTTCAGTGATTTCTGTTCCAAGTTTTATTATTTCCTTCCTCCTACCTGGTTTGGGCTGCTTTTATTGGTCATTTTCCAAGATCTTAAGCTGTGGAGTTAAGTTATTGTTCTTCCTAATGAATACTCGCAGAGCTATAAACTTTCCTCTTACCACTGCTTTTGCTGTGTCCCACAAGTTCTGGTAGCTCATGTCCTCATTCTCATTTGTTTCCAGGAATCTTCTGATTTCCTCTCTAACCCACTGTTTGTTCAGTAGTGATCTGTTTAATTTCCTGGTGTTTGATTTGATTCTCCATTTATGTTTTTGATTCACTTAAATTTTCAGCACATCAAGATCTTAGAATATACTGGATGTAATTTTTATTCTCTTAATTTTATGGAAGTGTGTTTTGTGGCTCAACATGTGGTCTATCTTTGTGAATGTCCAATGTGCACTGAAGAAGTATGTGTATTTAGGGGATGCATATTTTGGGGGATGGAAAGTCCTGCCTATATCTACTCTCTCCCATTTCTTCCCTCAAACCCCAGAGCTTGCTGGGCTCTCTGCACATAATGATGACTTTCTTTACTGGACTCTCATTTCTTCTTTACTACATGAGAGTACATTTAAGAAAATCTGACATATCCCTAAATCCTACAGTTAACAGAAACTTGAGAAATCTTTCCAAATTTGACAACACTCGAAAATTGTATGTTATTCTCAATATTATCTTTAATAATGATTTAAAAAGTTAATAATTGAATTATTTTAAATAATGCAAGGCAGGGACTCTTAAAATATGCCATTAATAAGGCCCTCCCGTTGATCATTGATTTGCTCGAGCGGGCCCAGTAACGTCTCCATTGTGAGACTTTGTTGTTACTGTGTTTGGCATATCAAATACGTTATGGGGAGCTTGCCAGGCTCTGCCGTGCAGGCGAGATACTCTTAGTAGCTTGCCGGGCTCTCCGAGAGGGGCGGAGGAATCGAACTCGGGTCGGCCATGTTGGCTGTGTGCAAGGCAAACGCCCTACCACTGTGCTATCGCTCCAGCCCTAGAGAAAGAGTGAACTTGTTTATGTTCTGATAGATAATGACTCTGCATTCGCGGCTGCGCAACATCTTATTATCTTATCTCATTCTTACTTTGGACAAACTGTCAGGTTACTACTGAATGTAACCTGCCCACTCGGCAGAGTCTGGCAAACTCCCCGTGGCATACCCAATGTGGCAATCCACGAACAACAGGATGGTCGTGATAGTCGTGATGGATATGGACTAGCTAGGTCCTCTTTTAGGAATTGCTTCTCCTTTGCTGACCTGCATGCTTTCTTCCTTCTTTTACCAAGGTAGATGATTGTGTAGTCATGACACTAACTTGACTACAATTGTGCCCCTTTCATTTGGGTAGCTAGGATGGCTTCCCCCTTTCCCCTTCCTCTCCCTAGCTGTGCTCAGAGCTTAATTCTAGCTCTTTGCTTAGGGACAGCTCATGGTAGCGCATGGGGGATTATATGCAGTGCCTGATCTGGAGTCTGGGTTAGTTGTGTTAGTGCCTTAACCCTGTATTATCTCTCTGGCCCAGGATTTCATCTTTTTGAGAGCTGAGTGCTTATGAATATACACTACAACTTCTATATTTACCTGTGGATGTATATTTTGATTGATTCCATAATTCCTATTATAAATTGTGCTGTAGTGAACATAGAAATGCATGTATTTTTTAAATTAGTATTTTCATATTCTTTGGATAAATACTAGAAGTAGAATAGTTGGATCACATATTTCTATTATCAATTTTTCAAGAAATTATCATACTGCTTTCGATTCACATTCCCACCAGTAACATGACAATTCCCTTTCCTCCACATACTCACAGACTTCTTGTTTTTTGTCAGTTGCCATTCTCACAGGTTTTGGGTAGACTTGTGAAATTCCCCTGTATTGAACATTTACTATAGGCTTGGAAATTCACATAATTTGTAATGCAAATAGCAATTATGCAAGGCACTTAATTCTGATTTTGTAATTGAGAGTTGATTGTAGATACCTATTTCCAGGCCTCATCCTAAATCTCTGTTCACTCTACCTTCTATATGAATATGTCTGGGATAGTTTTAGATTCAGTTCAAAATCCTTGATCTTCCTCCCGTCACAAGTTGTTAATTTTCCCAGGTAACTCTTACCAGGTTATTGACCAAGTTCCAGAGCAATAATCCATTTTGTACTTGACCTTATACCCCCATGTCTCCATATCACTGGCCAACAAAATCATCCGACCGTAGATTCAAATAAGGTGGAAGTTCACTAGAAATTGGAACACAGGCACTGTCCTTTTGGAGTATTTCTGTAAGACTGAAGAGAAGATCCACAAAGAAGTATACCCAAGTAACCGGCTTGCTTTAAAATCCAAAAATGACCAAACTGCTACTCTGGCAGAAGATGCGTGGACTGAGATACGTTTGCAGAATCTGTTAAATACATCCACTCCTAGACAAGAGGAGATGGAAATGAGGGGCAGTGTGAAACTAGAATAAGGGGCTCAGTGAGACTGGAACAGATTCTTGGGGAGAATGGATTAAACAGCAACTGGTCACCAAAAAAAAAAATACATCCACTCCTTCAGTCTGGTTCCTCTTTGAGGTAGAGTGGGCTGAGATAGGGTAGAATGGGGCACTCAAAGCAGACCTGACACCGCCAAGGAACCCGACACCCACATCCAGCTCAAAGCCTGCCATGGTAGTCCCCTCCCTCTATTTAGGCAGCCGTCTTCTGGACACCTGAAGTCAGATTTACGACCGTGAAATTAAAGTTGTAACAGAAATATCCTGCAGGTGTTGCAAGGGCGTAGCAGTCTTCCAGCCGCCAACGTCACAGCGGGGCCCAAGTCCTTACAGCAGGTTTAGCAATTTCTCCCTGTGCCTGAGGAAAGCGCTCGTCAGCTAAGGGAAAAATGGCCTGTATGGAGCGAGCATACAGGTCACCACTGAGCTGGGGTGTGGGGCAGTTCCGATGTGAAGAGTCGTGTGCCTGGATGAGATCCCCTTCATGGGGAAAAGCTACCCACGGAGCCAGAGTGGGGCGCCACGACGCCGGGTCCGCCCTGGATCCACTTCCAGGTACAGTTCCCGGCCCCAGCGCCCACAGCGAAAAGGACCAAGATACGCGCAGGTTTCCGCTCCGCTGTTCTGGAGTCAGGCGGACGCGCAGGAGTGGTGGGAAAAGCCCTCAGGGCCACGGCGCGCCCCCTTCGAGACTCCTGCCCCCACCCCAAAGGCGCCCAGAGACACACCCCTTACCGAGCCCGACCACAACCCCCACAGACCTCCAGAGACACGCCCTTACCGGCCCTGATGTCCCCAATCTCACAGGAACCCAGAGACACGCCCCTTACAGACCCCGACCCCCACAGCCCTTCAGAGACACGCCCCTTAGTAGCCCCGACGCCCCCAGCACCACAGTCGCCCAGAAACACGCCCCTTACCGGCCCTGACCCCCACCCCCAAAGGCGCACAGAGACACGCCCCTTACAGGCCCCTACAGACCTCCAGAGACACACCCCCTACCGGCCACGAACACACCCTCGCCCCGCCCACTCAGAGACACGCCTCTTACTGCACCAGGCCCCGCCCCCGACCCCGGCTCCCGGTCGCACCCCACCGGGAGGCCCCGCCCCATCCCTTGGCTAAGTCCTCCTAGGCCCCTCCCTCAGGCCCCGCCCCTGGCGCCGTCCCGAGAAACTGTACCCAGACCCCGCCCCCAGAAACTGTCCCCAGACCGGGTTCCCAGCCCCGCCCCCATGTGCCGCCCGGGGCCCCGTGGTCCCGTCCCCAGATCCCGCCGGCGGCCCCGTCCCCAGCTCCGCCCCTGGCCCATCCCGACGTCCCGCCCCTCTCCGCCCTCGGCCCCGCCCCCGGTCCTGTCCCGATGCCGCCCCCCCCCGCCCCTGACGTCGTCTGGGCCCGCGCGGCCAGTGTGCTGGCGGGCTGGTAACTTCGGATCCTCCGCCAGGGTGCGCGCCGCCGCCGCTGCCGTAGGCGCTCCCCGAGCCGACAAAGAGCGCTCGGAGCCGGCAGCCCGCGGGCGGTCACGCCGGAGAGGCGGCCCCGCGGCGGTCTCGGCCAGGCGATGGAAGATGGAAGGAAGCGAGCCCGCGGTGAGGCGCCACTGCCGGGCCGGGCCGAGGGGCTGGGTTGCGTCCGAGCCGCTGGGGTTGCGCGAACCGTCAGTTTCTGGGACTGAGCGTCCTCCGCTTTGTTGCTTTGTGTTTGTTAGGGCTGCTGAAGGCCAGCTCTGTTTCGGGTTTTAATTCAGGTTTCGCTTCAGACTCCTGAGAGGACGCGCTTCACCTCACGGGGAAGAAGCGGAGCGGTGGAGGGGACCCCGGCCGGTGCCTCTGCTCGGCCGGGCGACACGGTGTGGGATTAACACGGTTCTGTCAGGAAACAAAACCTCGGAACTTGCGTGGAGCTAGCAGACGCGGCGGTGACTGCCCCGCGGAGTGTCGCCAGGAGCTTTACAGACGAGTCCTTTCATTCGACTCGTTTGCTGCCCTTACAGCTTTGATTCTGGCCAGTGATGTGCTGAGATTTTAAAAAGCAGGTTATGAGGGAACGTAGGTTTTCGAATGTTGTCGGTGACCTAATAATGGTTTAACTTGACCATTCCCTTAAGCTCCGGTAGGCAGAGGACGGAATGAAGAGTTTTACAGAAACTCTTACAGTTTCATTTTACAGAAATTGGCCTTTGCCAGTCCAGAGTGTGTCCAGGTGTTGGTGAAAGAAAGTTGGAGACCTGAAAAGTTAAGAGGGGTTCTGGGGGGTAGATATTCCAGGTCACTAACCAGAACATAGGGTGTGCAAAAGTTCTGCCAAACTCTCAACATGAGACATGATTTGAGCTGTCAAGGAGTTTGCTTTCTTCTAGGGGAAGAGACTGCTAAGTAGGTTTTGATGGAAGAGCCTGGAGGAAAGAAGTGTTCCGGCCTGAGCGCTTGAAAAGTTTCTACAATACAGTTTTTCAGGATGAGTTGGTTAGGGGGTATATGTGTGTGTGTGTGTGTGTGTGTGTGTGTGTGTGTGTGTGTGTGTGCATTTTTCCTATTGAAGGAAAGAATCCAGTTTCTATCCTTAGAGTATTTGCAGATAGAGATTTTCTTTTAAAAAATTATTAAATTTGTCTTATGCACTTAAAATGCAAATTTGGCAAATTAACAGTTTAACAATTTTCAATGTTAATAGTGCAAAATTTAGCACCTTTCTAACCAGTATTTTTGGATGTTAGCATATCCTTAATAACTGGTATCCATCCGCAAATCAGACCACAACTGTATTATTTTGTCTTCTCAGGCATTTTATTGGATGAGGATCAGATTAAGTAACTGCTCTTCCAGAGCCTTCTAGCACTGTAGCATTTTGTGGTTTCTTGCCTGAACATGTGTGTACATTACTTTTTCTATGATACAGTCTTCACGTTCTGAGTATCTGTTATGTGTATATCAGTATTCTTATATCAGTATTCTTACTCAGTTGTTGAATGTGGGAAAGTGATTAAAGCTGCAAAGTTAAAATAACCTTAAGGTGAAATTCCACGGTTGAAGGCAGAAATCAGCTTATTGAAAAAAGAAGTATTTATTTATTTATTTATTGGTCTTTGATCCTCACCTAGCAGTAATGCTCCATGGTCACAGTCCTCCCGTTGTTCATTGATTTGCTCGAGTGGGCCCAGTAACGTCTCCATTGGACACTTTGTTGTTACTGTGTTTGGCATATCGAATACGTCAAGGGTAACTTGCCAGGCTCTGCCGTGCGGGCGAGATACTTTTGGTAGCTTGCCGAGCTCTCCGAGAGGGGCGGAGGAATCGAACTCCGGTTGGCCATGTTGGCCGCTTGTAAGGCAAACGCCCTATCGCTGTGCTATCACTCCAGCCATGGTAACTCCTGGCTTTGCATTCAGGAATTACCCTTAGCAGTGCTTGGGGCACCATATCCAAGTGCAAGGCAAATGCCTTACCAACTGCACTATTGCTCTACCCCTTTTATTTACTGATTTCTTTATTTTTTGGAAAAAGAAAAATTTAGAGATACTTATCATTGTTCTATTTCCAATATTTCAACGTTTGTTTGCATCCCTGTTGGGAAATACATCAGTAGGATTTAGATGGGTATTACATTAAAAAAACTTACATAAAACATTGCTTTGTTAATCATGTTTTCATCTACCCCCACCCCACTTTAGAAATGCTGGAATCATCTGTCCTGTCGTAGTTGTAAACTAAGACACCATTGTTGTAATGAGTTACTCTCAGTCATGGATAGAGTTACTGAGGCAAAAACCATATGAACCTTAAAATATGTTTTGTCTTCCAGATTGGTTTGTTGAATTTATGTGAGGAGGTAATGTCATTTGACAATTATGAAAAGAGCATATTCTTGGCTTGGGTTGCATTAGGAGATGAGTAATGGATGATGATCCTTTCCAGTTTTTAGAAATGAATTTAGTCATAATTGAAGCAGAGTGAAAAATAACCTGATGATTATTAGTAGGTGACCAAACCCCTTGCCTTTGGATTTGAATGAGGTTTTAAGGAAAGAAAGGTTGTAGTCTAACCTCAAATCATTGCTGCTTTGAGGCGAGGATCTCAACATTTTGGTATTCTTCAACCTAATAGCACTTGTTAATCTCACTTACTGAGAGTGAAGATGTTTTTCCTTTTTGAATCTGCTTCTCAATACTGAATTGTTTTAATGAAACTTAATCACTTAATCACTTAACTTCCCGTTAGTCGTCGATTTGCTCGAGCGGGCGCCAGTAACGTCTCCATTTGTCCCTGTCGCGTGCTAGTGTAGCCCAATGACATCTCTTCGCTCCGGGAACATGGAGGGCCTCAAACCGATCGTTCATGATCTTGACAAAGAAGTCTGACCATCTGGTAGGTGGGCGGCCACTAACTTTTATTATAAGGGATGGTGTGTGGCTAGCAGATCTAACCAAATTTTTCAGAACAGTTTACTTAAAAGTGTTATTTTAAATAACAAATTAAAAAATGTATCCTTGTCTTAATATTTGTGGTATTATAGCAGATTTAGAATTTTTTTCTGTAAAGAATTTAGGCCATGACATTTTACAGTATACCTTTCTTGTGTTTCTGAGTTTTAGGACTATCCTCTGAAGACGTTTTTCACATACTCCAAATCAGCAGGATTAGTTGTATGATCACAAGTATCAATGCCAATAACTGTAAATTTTATAATGAGAAAAAGGAGGGCCCTGGATATGACTCTAAGTGGTAGAGCATGTACCTGCCCTGGCACAACATCCATGCCCCCACCTAGCACTATATACTCCATAGTTTCCTGGCACCCCAACTTGATAGGTATGGCCTTGTGAACATTTTTTTAAAAATTAATTTACAGCACTTACTTAAAAAGTTGTCTTATATTCTATTGACCAAATTTCCATGCCTCATGCGAAAATAAGGTTTAACTCATAACATTAATAATGGGTCTTTGCTTATGCTATCTTATCAATACAAAAATAGCATATAGGACTTGTCCCCACAGTACTTGGTTTTCACTGTGCTCAGAAAGTCAACAGCTAGAGTTCCAGTGGGGTTGAGTGGGCAGAACTTTGTTGACACTTCAGGCCTCAGAGGTGGTAGAGCATTTTCTCCCTGTGGGATCAGCTGTGGTACGAGGTAGATTGTCCTTTCACCTTTGTCCATGTGGGAGCCACTTTCTTGGGACTTGCTTAACCGTCAGCAGCCATCTAGTTTGAATTTCATTTTTCTGGGTTGAGTTAGAATAATTTGTACATGTTACCATAAGTTATTTTATATTACTTTTTTGGTTTTGGGGTCACACTGGGCAGTGTTCATGCTCGTCTTGGTTTTGTATTCAGAGATCACTACTGGTAGTACTAGGGGGATCATATGCAGTTTTGGGGATTGAACCTACTTCTGCTGTGTGCTAGGCAAGTCCTTTATAAACATGGGTAATTAAAAAAGTGTTATATATATATGACCTCATATAAAATATATGAGGTCAATATTAATATACAAGGTCAAAATATTAATTTTTCCACTTGAAAATTAATATCTTGAACTTAGCCTTTGGTTCTTTTCCTATAAAACATTTTCATATGGGTTGTCTAAGAAATTTCATTTTAATTTCATCTTAAGATCTAATTTTTGGAAAAGGTGTATTGTAAGTCATGTTTTCAGGAATGGTTTACTGTTAAATCACAGCCAATGAATATTGAATTCTTTCTGTTTGTAACATATTTTTTCTCTTCTAGTCCCCATGACAACCCATTGAGGTCAGTACTCTATCTTCTTTTTGAAATCTCAAGATATTAAGCAATATAGACAGTAAATGGCAGAACTGAGATTTAAATTCTGGCAGCCCAGTTTTCTTAATCACTGTTCTGTAATTATGTCCTCAGAATTTCCACTGTGTTGCAGAGCTGAACTATTGATTAACATTTATATTTGGTGAGTCCAATTCATCAACAACCACTATTTTAGTAAAACCAGGGTAGTTATTTGACTAAACAGATGATAAATGTGTACTTTTATTAATTTTTTTTAATAGTTCATACTTGGTGGTGAGTTCTCTCTCAGTCCCCAAGATTGTATACTTCACAGACACACATAGCATCTAAAGAGATCATTGTGGGACTACATGTAAAGGTTTCATGTTATTAGAAATAATCAGTTAGAAATCAGAATAAAGCAGGTTAATAAGTTAAAATCAAATATAAGCTAATTTATTCTGGTTTCTGATTCTGACCCCTCACCTGTGTCTTTTTATCATTTTGAGATTTTTCTTCCCATGAGCCAGTACTTGGGTTGTTGCGAAAAGGAGTCTTAAAACAATAAGGAGGATGATGGGGAATGAAAAAGAGGGCATTAATAAGATCAGGCAACAGCTGCTCCATTACTCCTGCTTTCTGTTCCCAGACTTTTGCTAAAAAAAAGTGAATTATAGTAATGGGGCAGCTTGATTCTTTCTATGGTGGTTTGATCTGTGGAAAAAAGAACAATTTAAAGGGACAGATGTAGCTTTTGTTTGGTACCCAGGAGATCATTGCTCTACTTTGAAAGCCTACATGCTTTTTGGATTTTCATTTCCAATATTTCTTAGTTCCAAGTTAGTG